CAGAGCTAGTAGGCAACCTTGCCAATATTATAAGTGAGTTAAATGTATTGTTCCAAAGAGCGAGTCAAGGAACGAAAAACCATAGGATAAAAAAATTAGTAAATACAAAATATGATGAACGAAATGCAGTAAATGCTAGCGCAAATGCATCTAATGAGCAATAGGATTATAACTCACATCTTGAGCATCCATTTATCTTTAACTTATTAATTGAACCATTCCATCACCCCGGATATGGTCTTGATAGGAATGCCCATGTTCTGAAAAGTCCATTAAAGAAGAAGTATAAAAGGCATGCAAATGACTTTAATGATCCTTGCAGTGGATTAAAGTTGAGGCACCTATTTTTTATGATGCCCAAGTGAAGGAATTCTTTGAGTGTTATTTTTTGGATGATTATTAAAGGATGATATTTGTCAGACAAAACTAGTTAGTCATGCTTAAACTTTTTAGAATAACACATTAGGTAAGGAAGAGAGAAGGGATTGGTTGAATCGTAGTTGTGCAGAGATGAATGAGATGGTTAGGACCAAACATTGCCCTCACCATTATAATAATAAGTTATATGAGCATTTGATGACTTTAAGACAGGGTAGCTAATAAATGAAGTATCTCTAATACCATTGAGGATCTCATAGTTAGGACCTATTGTAGTGTTATTGATTGGCCGTAGACCATCAAAATTTGTTATTGATCTAGGGTGAAAATTATGAATAATCTGAATGCTTGATCTCAAGCCTTGAGGATGCTTTTGATTATGCTCTTTTAATGGATGTGTAAAAGAAGGTAGCCGACATTTTTAGGCCTAAAGCATCATAGTCTTCCACTTATGTTTCTTGCTCTACCCAGATGGCTATCATTGGGCCTGGCCTTTCCACCTACAGTGCACTTATTGACTTGAACTCCACCGGGAATATCATTTTCTTTCTGTAAAAATGGTTATATATAGAACTTGTATTGAGGCGGAATCATCATTCTAGTGTGGCTAATTATACTGATAAGGGTTTTATATGGAAACTCAATGATGGTACCCCCATATCTAAGTAGGAGGTTGACACTTCAAAGGACACGAAGAGATCATTCATATGAGCTGGGTGTCTTGTATCCTTCAAAATGGGTAGTATGAGAATTGAATCTAATGTAATGTCCTCCCAATGGATCTAATGCACTTTTTTATTTGTTTAATCTTGGCTCTATGCTATGGATGCCATTCATTATGGCCAAAATAATACTTATATATTCAAATATGGATTAGATGATAAAATTTTACCCTTTTTACCCTGCCATGCTTTAGACTAGGCCACACCCTCTACACTTAACAAGTTTACATCAGTTATTTAGCCTAGAATAATTCAAAGAAGTATTCTAGGCTTCAACTGATTTTGATAGGCCTCTCCTTTCTATTAGGGATGTTGATCCATTGTCTGCATCTAGTGTAGTGATCATACTCCCATGCCCTTGATATCTTAAGATTGAGAGGGTTGGGTTTAGTTATATAAGGAGAGAATTTTCTGATCTTATTTATGCCCACGTTCTCCTTGCGAAAGCAGTTAATCTTGGCCAATCGACATTTTGTTGCCTAGTATAGTTTCCCATATTTTATTGGATTAAAGTGGTATCACCTTTATTGAGTTGCCTGATTTCCTATCACCTTTGAGGGATATACAACACACTATAGGTTTTATATTTGGTTCGTTATTGTCAAATCTTCTTTATTATAGAATGAACTCATTCAAGCAGATTGAGCTGAAAAGATAGGTGGATGAACTATTTCGAAAGCGATATCTCTTGGAGAGTTTTAGATTATAATAGTTTCCATCCTATAAACCTCCAATAAAGGTATTTGGAGGATGTGTTTGGATATCTGAGCTATCAATAGGCTTACTATCGATGTTGATTTTTTATACCTTTGCTCGATCATATGCTAAACTTTGGTGCCAACTACTTAAATATTGACTCTGGAACGAGCCACCAACAAGCTAGGATTCGAACTAAGGTTGAGTGGAAGACCATTTTTAAGTCATCAGATAGGTTTTGTGAATGGTTGATTATGTGTTGATTGGTCTTTCAAATTGTCCCAATGCATTTATAAGGCTCATGAACATTATTCTGAAGTCTTATATTGGGAAGTTTTTGGAGTACTTTGATGTTATGTCAATTTTTAGCTTTGATCAGGAGACAAACTTAGAATATTGGAGGTTAGTTTTTGAGATACATAGAAAAAAAATTAAATATTTTTATTAAGAAGTGTTTTTTTATTTATTTTTATAAAATGTGTAATTTTCTTGAAATTCATTGTATCAGCTTCAGGACTAGAACTCAAACCATTTAAAATTAATACATTACTAGATTGACCAACTCCTAAGAACTTTATAAAGGTTTGAATCTTCTGTGGTTTAACCTTAATTTCTGAGATTTATTTGAAACTTTTGTTTCATAGCAGCTCCCATCATTGAGTCGTTGAAGAACACATTTTTCAGGGCATGTGCTGTCTAAATTGCCATAGACCCTATTGAGGTTCGGATGACGTCTTTGTCAGTTCTTAAATTATCATGTTTTTTCAAGGAATTTGAGGCTGACATATGATGTCTCATAATCTGTACCATTTGTATTCCTAGCCAAGAAAAACCTCATTATCTTGTTTGATAGAAAATTGAATGATACAAAAAAGTAATACTATCATTCAATTTTTACAATTTTGGAGGCACAATTTATTATATGGAGTTTATTCTTTATTCTGATGGACATACCTTGCATTTTACAATACTTAAAGAAAGCTAAATGTTTGACATGCAATTGGCTTCAATTTTTATAGTTTCGTTATTCTGTATTAAAGTAAGGTTTAGAGCACCAGACAAACCAACTGATGCATTTTCAGAGTGACTTTAGTGTTTAGTTCCTTAGAACTACAGGTCTCAGGATGTAGAATGATTAGGAAAGCCCATTCTCTATTCTATTTTCCCTTTATTTTTCAGGAGCATTAAAATAAACCCCTATCCCTCGTAAGCTTTTCCCATTTTGTTTTTGGTTATAAATGGTTATGCATTGATAGAGTTTGCAATGTTTTAATTACATTCAAGGGGATATCTTGGCACTCAGTAAAAGAGACAACTATTGACTAAATGGAGAATCAATTTTTTTTGTCCCTCCGAAGAGAGTTGTTCAATGACTAGTAGTCCAATATGATAGGGAGATAAGCCAAAAATATTTAGCAAAGTTTTGACCATAAGATGCGTACATAATACCCTATACCTTGGGATGATCTATCTATGGACTTTGTTCTGAGTCTACCTAGGAGTATTTAGACCCATGACTGTATTTTTATAGTGCTAGATGGGTTTTTCTAAAATGGCGCACTTCAGCCAAAATCAGTAAGCCAAATTCTAGACCGCATCCAATCTTCTATCCCTTGGAACGATCTATCTTTGAACTTTGTTTTGAGTTTACCTATGACTTGTAAGAGCCATGCTTTATAGTATTGGATAGGTTTGCTAAAAAGGCCCATTTCATATCTTGTGGTGAAACCAATTATGTATCTCATATGGTAGGCTATTTTTTTGAGTCATTGTTTGAATGCATGGCCTACTTTCTACTATTTTGATAGATAAGTAAAAGTTGTATTCTATATTGGAAAATTTTGTGGTAACTACTTTGAACTAACTAAAATTTTTTTATGCTTTTCACCACCAAATTGATTGTAAGACAGAAGTAATGAATACGACCCTTGACATCCCTTGATATTTAGTAGGACACACTTATTTCGAGTGCAGTATGGACAGTGGGAGGGAACCAGTTCGCTCATTTTGTATGGTCAAATAAGTCCCTAGTTGTAAGTTAAACCACCCTCAACAAGATTCATAGGCCGGCAGGAAGGTAATTAGCAACATCCTAGAAGTTACCAGTTTAACTAGGAGAAAGGGTTTTGCATTTTTGCTGCTTTCTTCAGATGAGGTTGAAATTTTAATTGGACCCAAGTTGGCAAATATGAACTTTGAGCTGGACTGAAATAATATCTGTAGCTGTGCACCGAGATAATGCTTGATCAAACTAATGTGCATATGCTGATTTGCACTTCTTTAAACATTACTGATAAGAAAACCGTTCAGGGAATTGAGTAAATTTTCATCATTTTGAGAAGGATAACTA